ACAATGAAAACAAAAAATTTCAATTAAATAAATTATACTAAAAGTTAATTTATTTTTAATTGACTTTAATTTAGAGATAAAATAGCAAATAGTAAAACAAGTCAATTAAATAGTAATGTTTTAGTGAAGGTCTGAATGGATGAGTGAATTTTTTCTGTGTGTCCGACTTTTGGTATCAAATATAGTGACGATAGATATTATTGGGAAGAATGCAAAAGAATAAAGTGATGTTTTTGTTCACACAAATCACAAATCAAGACAATTTGGTTCACAAGTTAGCGATCGATACTTAAATTCTCGGATTCCTCTCTTCCTATCAATGGTTTCTTCGCTACGATTTGTGTTTAGTATTGTTTTGTTGTTGACGTAAAACTTTAGTTAATTATTTTTGCTGGTTCTCTCTCTCTCTCTCTCTCTCTCTACCAGTCCGTCCATTTCTCTCTTCAACTCTCCCTCCCATCCAATAAACAAACTCTTCTTTCTCATCAAATAGTATCCGGAAATGAGTTTCTCAGAAATGATTGTGTGTTTTATTTTTAATTTTTCTTTTAAAAAGAAAACCAAAACACATATAAATTTTAAGATAATATCAATTGAATAACAATTGACTGTTTTAGGAGTCAGTGAAGAGAAGTCTGCTTTTTGTTGAAAATAAATGTTAGCATAAGTTGTCTCACGTTTTCCAATGAATACCTAAAGATTAGATAATCTTTTAATATACATATCAATGCTTTCTTTGGCTTTTAAATTAAATGTTATTTTATTTTAATGTTTTCATTAACTATTTTAAAACAAGAGTTTTGTTTTTTTCCGGTCACGATCTCAATGATATCAATGGTAAATGTGATCACAAAACAAATAGTTATATTAAGTAACAAATTATACAATCATTTTATTGTCAATTCGTGACAATTAAACGCATAATTGCCTGCGATTTGCAAACCAAACATTTGCTGTTTTATTAAAAGTCTTTTTTGGGATATTTTTAATTAATATGAAATAACTTTTAATTACGATATCATTTCAACGGATTAATGAGATTTATATTTAATTATCGCAATCTATGCCACAATTGTGCAAAATTTGCAAACATTTCACGTTTTAGTTTAATTTCATTTTCAAAAAAGAATGTTGTGATTAATTTAAACAGTAGTTTCAAAAAAACATACAAAACATTATTTGCGAAACAATTTTCAAGGAAATTATTATTTTGGCTTTAAATCAAATCAATTAATTTGCCATTTATTATACATTTAAAAATTAATTAAAATGTCAACAAAGTGCGGTTTATTACATAAAAATACATACAATTATTTAATAATAATTACAATAATTATAAAATTAATGGCATTTCTAGAGCCATAAGGCTATACGGGAACAGAACGGTCAGTGGAGGGTATCGGTCAAGAAATCCAAACCCATTCTCGGCATTGCCATCGAAGGGGGTGTGAATGTGCCCTCACAGACACAACCTAGGATCATTAGCATACATGTAAGTACTTTATATTGTTAGTTTTAATTGTTTCATTTGTGTAGCTAATTTATAGTTGGTTTTAATTTTATACAAAATTAATTTTATTGTTAAATAAAAGTTATTATATAATAATAAATTATATTTAATATGATTTAATGATATCTCGATTTTGTTTCTCGGGATACAAACACAAGCGTAGGGTAATTAATGAGAAACTATTTGTATGCCTTTTATTATATACAATAAACTAGTTTTATTGGTTTCGGATTAGACCATAAATATATTACAAAATATGCGAAAAACATTATTATTTTCAAAACTTCAATTACAGAACGCCGCCTCTATTTATAATTTAAATTACGGTAAAAGTTTGAAATACAGTAATGATTATAATCTCACTTAAAAATAATAAGTTTTGTTAATTAATTATTCATTATCATGAAAATATGAATATGAATTTTGTTTAGTTTTTTAAATTTTTTGGTTTTTATTACGAGAGATAATAAACATTGTCTAAGGAATATACCAACACTTTTATTACACACATAATATATTAGTGACATTTGTATCAATTATAATAATTTCCTAATATATTATAATCAACATTTGTTTTGTATATAACTGTAGCAGACTATACGGCTCTGTATATAACATGCAATTATTATTTATTACATCATTTCAAATGCCGTGAAATTTTGACAACAATTCTCTGGGCGTATAAATCATACGTTGAAATGCATTCTTATGAATAGGGATTTTAGGTTTGATATAAAATTGTGAGCTAAATATAACGCATAATCCAAACACAAAACAATATGTAGGTCTTCATCGCCTGTTGTGTTATAAATACAAATCATTTGAATTGCATTCACAAAGGGATCCGATGTTTACACATATTTTGCAAAAATTGAAGATTACATAAATCAATGTATAATTTACTTCTACCGTTATATTGTTTGATTCATAGGAATAACACAGAATATTCTGTCGAATAAACAGAATTTGCGTATAGAAACCACAGAATATTAAGACTTACATTAGAATTACTGTATATTAAGATAGATTTAAATTATTAATTATTAACATATTAATGATATTGTGTTTTGACCATGGCCAGAGTTCGGGTGCTGCGATAGAGTGCGGTGATCTACACGTGGGCCACATACTGCTGGAGGTGGACGGCCAGACCACAGCCCAACTGACCCACGACCAGGTGGCGCAAAAGATAGCCCACGCCTTTTATAACACTCCGCACAAGGATTTCATTGAATTTCTGGTGAGAGAGAAGTCGAGGAATGAGTTTGATTTGCGGAGATCTTCGTTCATGTTATTGAACAGCAGTTTTGAATGAAATGCATTTGCATTTTGTATCACACTTTATATTGTGCTCATTATATACCTGCGAATTAATGACAGCTAATTATGTTACTATCAATTACTATAAGTCACTTATTCTGTGAATAAGTGTTTCGTCTTTTATATATTTCAATAAATATTTTAACAAATAAATAAATTGTTAAATAATTATAGTCTATAATAGAGTATATACTGTATATGTATAGTGTATTTGTAAATATAATGTATGTTTAAATTTTATAATATATTTAAAAATACCAACAAAATGTGTATAACTCAAGGAATTATATAATTAATTAATTACTTATATAAATATTACGATCAAAAACAAAATATATAAATGTAATACAATAAATAATAATCTATTTTTTCCAATTTTATTATAATTATATAAAATTGTTGTTTAATAAACTTCATAAACAAAACTAATAAATCCTCTCAACAGAAAGACAATCCTATATATTATTATACAATAATTAATATATTTATAAAAATTAAAATACAATTGAGATAAAAGCAATTATTATTACAAAAGTGTATACATTATAAACATAGGGTAAATGTGAACGAAACATCATTTAATAACATATCATTGAAACAAACATCATGTTAAAATTAATACATATTTATATCAAACAAACAAATATTTTGCCCATAAAATTCATTAATGTCAAAACCCTTTCAATTGTTTTCATAATAACTGCTTATTAAACATGTAATCTATTCAAAACACACAGACATTTGTTTTGTAAAAATTATCTTTAATACAATGTCAACGAAGAGCTAACTATTAATAAATACTGGATTTAATTTAAACATTTGTATTACAATCTTATCGCTTATACATAGAAAATTGTTGCGTTAATTTGATGTTTAATTAAAAATCAAATCAATCTTTAATTGGATGTTACAGAAGAAATATAATTAAAAAACAATGTCATAAAAATTGTTACCATATTCTAGTTAACAAATGTTATTACAATATACTGATAATACAAAATAATAATTTATATAATAAATGGCAATATGTATATCATATACGGTATATATTCTAAGAATATAACAATACATTTCAATTTATAAATGACACAAATTTTTCATTAATTGTGATAAAAATAAAACAAAAAACTGATTATTCTGTCAACAAATTTATTGTCTATTAAAGCAAAATGTGGTCTTTTTATACATATATATAAACTGATTGATTGATTACACAATTACACCAACAAAACAAATCTCATTCATTAAATGTGCCAAAAATATCTAATATATAACGAATACATTTATTAAATATTAAACCAATTTTAATGCTTATTATATAAAAGTTAATATATAAAATAATTGTATAAAATTTATCATGTAAGAAATTAAAATAATTGATTAATTTTTCTAATTCTAATAAATCATTGATTTGTTATAATTTTAGTATAAATTTATGGCTTTGCTCTACAAATGACTAAAAAGTTATCAATAAAAACGTCTTAATAAAGTGTGATATACTATATATTATATGTGCCAATAATAAAGCACTTAAAACTCGTGTAGGTATTAAAACAATAAAGGTATCTTTACAATAAATAATATTGTGTTCATAATAAGAAAACTACCATATACTTTTACTATGGATTTTAATACACACGATGCAGAGTACGTTAAGTATGTATTAGATGAATAGAAATCATATAATTCAATTTTATAACTATAAGTATCATTCAAATAACTTATATAATTACAATTAATTTATTACCAATCACATAACAAATAGTCGTTTAGATGTTATAACATATTGAGACATTGGCCTTCATGCAATTCAATGCATATTCAACTTAAATAGGATATGTAATGTATGGTAAAGTGATTTACATTGACTGAAACATAGTATTCATTTGACATTTACAGGTATAGAGGGGTTTGAATCGCGAATTTCTATTGAAGACTGCATTCAAAGTCCTTAACAGAGCTGTCAGTCATTATCTGACGGAATAAATAATAATTCATTTCCAGATATGATTACAATATTAAAGTATTATTGCATTCGTTGTGAATAACATATTTGTGCTTCAAATGACTGAAACAGTTGTGTATTCGAGTGAATGAGAGAGAGAGAGAGAGAGAGAGAG